ATATATATATATATACATATACTCTCTCTCTCTCTAGTATATATTCAATACCTGATCTCACTGGTACTTAACATAATATAAGGGGAGTGTTCGTAATATTTATGTTGATAACATATTTGTAATACATTGTTAAACATTCCTGGATTTTAGATGCCATTGCCACCACTACCTGTCACTAAATGCTGATACTTTAAACCTCCTATTTTCTATTTGTCTTTACCCATTTAAGGTCTTACAAGAAATGAAGTTGTCAGAATCTAAACTCTTTGAAGGTGGACAGCTTCTGCAATGCTCAACAGCTGGTATTATTCATGAAAGGTTCCTAGAGAAACACATCTTAGATCACCACTGGGATAGCTTACATAGCATGACGGTAAGACAAGTCTGCTTGTTATGCCAATTTCAGCCCAATAAATGATCCCTTAGGTCCCATTCACACTATTAGGTTTATTTATCAAACCAGCATATGGCTGGACAGATGCCCTTTGCACAGCACCCCTAGGTGGCGCTAAGAAGTATAGGAAATTTAGTATAGTATAGGAAGTATAGGTTTTATACATATGTGTTTTTTTACCTGTTGGAGTTACATTAACACAATACGTTACCATGCGATAAGGCATTTAAAGTTTTTCATTTTAAAGCACGCCCTAAAACAGAGATGTGACTTTTTGCCCACCAAAACTCATGGCATGTTCATTGTGGGATGCCGCAGTGCATGTGACTGGTCTGCTAATTAGACATGTGCCATAACGTTTCGTTACAAATCGAAATTCGTACGAATTTTCCTGAAATTCGTAAATTCAGAAGCATTCGAAATCCGAATTGCAGTTTCCGAATTATATCCGAAATACGAAATTCCGTTAACGAATTTCGGATCCGAATTTCTTTGAAACGGGAACTAATATTACCCCTGTAAATGAGGTTGAACAACATGACAAGAATTTTTTCTTAATCCGAAATACGGATCCGCTGCTGCTGAGGGTTGCAACTTGCATTACAATACACAGGCAGGAAATACGAAATTCCGTTGATGGAATTTCGTTCCGTTACGAACATTCGTTATATTGAGGTTAAAAAGCAAAGTACATTTGTTAATATACTGGAGTTTATTGTAGTTTTTTTTTTTTTATCCGAAATTTGGATCCGGAATCCGTTAACGGAATTCGTATTTTGTTTGGTTGACCAATCAGAGGTTTTCTCTTCTGCTGCTGAGAGTTGCATTATAATACAGGCAGGAAATACGAAATTCCGTTGACGGAATTTCGTTCCGTTACGAACATTCATTATATTGAAGTTAAAAAGCAAAGTACATTTAAATTGGAGTTGATAATAGTTTTTTTAAATCCGAAATACGGAATCCGTTAACGGAATTCGTATTTCGGATACAAAAACAACTACCACATCGACTCCAATATTAACAAAGGTATTTTTGCTTTTTAACTTCATCATAACGAATGTTCGTACAGTTACGAAAATGTGCCGAAACTAACGAAAATTCGTATTTCGTAGGAATCCGAATTGAGTTTCGGACACGAATTACGAAATAACGGATATTCCAAAACGGACCAAATTTTTAGACGGCGCACAAGTCTACTGCTAATGAAATAGTGATTGATTTTTTTAATCCAATAGATCAATTATTCTGAACTTTAGATGTTGCAATGGCTCTTTGATACACTATCAATGATAAATATGCATCAATCTGATTGCATTTCATAGCAAAAGCTGGTTCAAAGCTGTCACTGTGAGAATTGTTCTGTTTGCGTGAAGTATGACGCAATTAATGCTCCCCTTGCGTTAATCAGCTGTTGGGACATTTGTATTTTTCTAAACCCATCCAAGCTTTAGCTTCTATTATATGCTTGAAATTGGCCAAAGGGATTAAAATGGTTGGAATCAGAAAAATTAGATTTTTTTTTACATTAGATAAAAATGTTGAAACAATTGGTCCATAAAACGTCCAGTTGGATCATGTATGGCCAGCAGTAGTCACAACGTAGTAACAGCGTACGAAGAACAGCCAATGAGATGTCATGTTTCACTGATTTGACTGTGGTACATTTAAATCTGTTTGGATGTCCATCATTCGCTGCTCTATGCATTGCTTCCTGATTATAATTTTTTTTTCATGTTTTATGTAAATGATATGCTAAAAGTTAGCTGTAGAAGCAACTTGTCTAAAGCAAACTCTAAAGCGCGCTCAAAAGAGAACTATAGCCAAACCTTTTTTTTTTGGCTGTAGCTCTCTTTTGGGTTACAAGAGTACATTTTCTTAATGTACTCCTGTGACCCAAAGTCAGCATATAACGGGCTGCTTCCTGCTACATGAGCAGAGCCGCGATGCAGCTAGGAAAGATCCCGACAATAATGTTGGGATCCCCCCTGCTGCCTAATTGACAGCTGGCTCTGCCTCTCTAGAGCCAGCTGTGCCCACCCCTCCCCTGTCTGTCCTGTAAATGAGTGCAGGAGGAATAGAGAATGGAAAATGGAATCCCAGCGGGGAGCAGTGACTGACAGTCACCGCTCTCTGCAGAGAGAAGCCGTGAGCTGAGCAATCAGTGATTTGTGATCACTCAGTTCTTGAGCTATGGAGCCGACACGCCGGCTCAAACTTTTGGGTAGAGTAGATTTTACTCTCCAAATACTTCTCCTTTAACTGTTTGACTAACATTCGATTTTGATGTGGAGCTGACTATACAATAAACTCAGCGGGAGATTCCTCCATCCACCCTGTTTATTGGGGATGGATGGTTCGGTTAGATTTTCTCCTGTTTGGCCTGCAGGCTGAATGAAAAAATTGTATAGGTGAATGTCCAGCTTTACACAAGACTGTTCTACACATACAGTAAATTCTGCTGTGTACTACCCGCAGTAAGGATAGCTTGGCTATCTGTTGTAACTTTCATAGCTGCAGGAATCCCCGTTCTTATTATACGATTATACTATATTAACTGAAATGATCAATTATCATTTATTTCCAGTATGATGATGAGTTTACAACTCTTGCGAAACGAAAAATGTCCGTCATTGTTGAATGGCTTGGGCTTGGATCTTCACCATTTATGCAGAAAGCAGGTAATGTACATCATTCAAGTGTTGATATTTGTGTGACTAGGACCATCAATATATATATATATATATTTTATTTAAAAAAAACAACAACGCTCTATGTGAACACACTATATCCCCCATCGGGCTATGATTTTTTTAAACATATTGCAGAGTTAGACAGAGAAGGCATGAAAAGAATCAGACAATGCCGGGTGTGTCGGCTGCTTTTCTTTCCAGCTGTCCTTTGCGGTTGGCTGCTATCTTACATGTAATTGACAACGCTGAGGCTGTGTCTGCTCCTATACATAGTGTCAGCATATGTAAACAAAGACACTGAGGCTGTGTTCAGGAACAGCTCCACTGTCAGGTTGCTTGCCCTGTGTTTGGCTCATGATCACAGCCTGGTCCTGATCATCTCTTTATTTAAATAAACTAAAGACGTGTTCAGGAGCAATTCTCTTCTTCATAGTCTCAGCACTGTCAATGATGTAGCGGCTGAGGGAGGAGCATCAGATGGCAACTAGAAAAAGTAGAATCCGTCACACCCGGAAGTTTCACATGCTTCTGATTTTTTTAGATTCGCCTCCCAGAACCGGTGCTCCCTCTGGCATGGAGCCGACTTCCCGGCCAATCAGGAAGCCGGGCGGTGAAAAATGAAATGCCTCCTGGCTTCCTAATGGAAGCCGGCTTAATGCTGATTGGCTGGAAAGCTGGCTTCTCAACCAATCAGCATGGAGCCGGTTTAACGCTGATTGCCCAGGAAGCCGGCTTCCCAGGTAATCAGCATGGAGGCGGCTGTTCGGCCCGGCTCGATGCTGATTGGCCAGGAAGCCGGCTTCCCAGCCAATCAGCATGGAGCCGGCTTCCCGGCCAATCCAGAAGCCGGGAGGCGGGTCATTATGCGCTACCCGGCTTCCTAAATGACCGGGAAGCCAGCTTCATGTTCCCCTGCGGCATTGCCGGTCAGAGGAAATCTTCCTCTGACCATAATTTCCGGTACCAGTGAAGGTATTGGCGCATTTTGGCGAGTACAAGTACTCAACCAAATACTCGGTATTGGCAACAATACTAGTATCGGTATCAGTGCATCCCTACTGGTTTCCTCAGTACACATTTAGTTGTAGTTCCAGAGCATTGGTAGCTGGTCCTGTAAGCACATTTTTACTCTTCATATTCCTGTTTTGGGTGATCTTTCAGCTCCCCAGTTGGACCTTGAGGAGTTGGATGAAGAGGAACAAGAGGAAGAGGAGTTGGTTGACATTCAGGAAGAGGCGGACCTAATCCACCAAGAACGTGCCCTTGATGAGGAGGATGACGAGGAAGCAGCAAGGCAGAGAAAAAGAAAGGCTAAAATGAAGGACAATGAAATAGCCAGCATTATGCTTGCAATGTCACTGGAAAACAAGGACTCCCAGGAGCCACAGGAAAATGAGGAAAAAGAGGGGGAATGGCAGGTAAATTCCACTTTTCCTCTTTTGGTTTTCAGTGTTTTATATAAAGTTGTTTAGTCAGATAAAACAATTAGATCAACTATAGACAATTAAAGCCCTAATGTAGATTATTCATAATTAAAGTATATCTCAATAAAAATCACAAGCCCTTAGATGTAGTAGCTGTATTCGTTTTTATTTTTCTGCAATTACAGAAAAATACCTGTTGATCCTCACAGACATTTGACATCTTTGTAAACACCCGTGTACTCAAATGAAATCTCAAACAATGTTATCAGCTATCTTTTGTGAACTACCCAACCCCTCTTCCCTATGTAATGAAGACTAGGAGAGGGAGAGGTGCTTATAGTCAAAATCAGGAGAGCAGCCCAGGGTGACAATGCTTCTCCTCCATGGACACAGTACAATGAGTGAGCATTGTCACCCTATGGCAGAAAGTATATGTTACTGCCACAATCACCTTGTCACTCCTGTGGTGCGTTTAGTTGCTCAGCTGCTGAGCAACTAAAGCAAACTGCCGCTGAACTCTGTGCTGCAAGTCAGCGCTCAGCACTGCTAACTTAGCACTCGCAGCGGAAGTGAATGTGGCTGCAGGGCACCGAGTGTGACATGGATAGTAGGAGAAGGTGGGGACAGAGCACCAGCGGCCATTTTAATTGTGGGCACACCTGGCAGTGATGGAGAAGGGTGCCTGAGCCCGATGGAGCAAATCACAATTCAGTGTGGGAACCTACAATTTTATGTTGTGGTGGAGGAGTGTGAACGAAAAACTGTCTAAATAACGAGTTTCCCCATGTAAAACAGTAGAAAGTGAACTAATGGCAGAGTTTAACACTGAATCCTCCGCCATTTTGCTTAGAACTGTGCAGCCGAAACGTTCAGTGAAGCTGCTATAGCGAACAGAAGCGCGGCAGAACAGCTACTCAGCGCTTGGCTAAGGAACGTGGTGCTGTAGTGACAAGAAAACACCCGCTGAAGATCATGCAGAATCCAACACTTGAGGGAGTGTTGAATTTCCCCTCCCATGTGCTCTCCATGGTTGAAATTCACCACCTCAATATGTCTCTACTGTCTTCTGTAGTGAAGTAGGGCCTGGCAGGAGAACTAAGAAATTGACAAGTGTTAGATTCCGCACGATAAGCAGCTTACAGCAGTGATCAGTGGTGCGGGCAGGAGAAGAAGTGAGTTTTCTGTTTTCTTGAAAGGGCGCGGGCCCATACTTTTTCAATACTGATTTAGCAAAAGAGTTGCTTAAGATCAGCGTTAGCAAAAGCACAATGTCCTATACCCTGGGTCACAGTCTGCACAAGACCACTGCTGTCTGTGTGTGAGCAGCAGATTCTGTAACGCAGTCTGACATGACTCTCGTAAAATCATAAGTACAGCTCTCCAATCAGCAAACTGATTTACTCTCACTCCATCTCTCTTAAATCTATGAATTGATGACTACAAAAAAATCTAGAATACTGAACTTGTATGGATAGGAAGTAGGGATGTTCAGATATCAAGTACCGTACTCGGTACAAGTACAGATACTTTTCCAGCTCCAGGACTAAACTAGAGAAAAATTAAAAAATTAGGAGGCAGCTGTCATTTGTAAGGAGCATACGGAGCTCCTGGGATTTGTTCATCTCTTATTTCATGTATGATAATTTTTTTATAAACATATAACGGATGCACCGATACCATTTTTTCAAGTAAAATTACTGATACTTGCCCAAGTACTCACAGATACAAGTACTGATACATTTTTATTTATTGTCATGTGACAGTTTTTCTAAAACAATACAGACTAATGATTTCAGGACAGTGGTGGAGCGCCAGAGCCAGGTCCCATCTGCAACCGCTGCCACCCTGGTAGTTCTCATGAAAATGCCAAATATCGGCACTGGTATCTGAACTGATATTGGTGCATCCCTAATAGGAAGCACAAAACAGGTTTGATGTGATGATTTCCTGCATGAACATCTTTATCTTTTGTTTTTAAAGATGACAAAGAAACAGAAAAAGAGAAGACAAAAAAGGATGAAGGATGAACTGCAGAAAACAGAAGCAATGACAGAAGCTGAAGTTGACCAGATTGTAGATATTTGGGGTGTGGATATAAATACGCGATGGAGACTGTACAGGTGATATAGACGTTCCCGGATCCCATGTTGGCAAGGTTCTCAGACAAAGCTTTACCAATATTGCTTCTAAAAGGACAGGGGCTGTGTTGCTTATAGCAATGAATTACATCTTATTTCATTTTCTAACCTACGGTGTAATAAGTAAGCCCTTTATTTATAGACTGAGATTCATCCCTTTCTTGAGATTGTCTCAGCTGCCTAATTTAGCTTCTCAACAACTACGTTGGTCAAACATTAACCCCCTTCTTATCGCTGTATTATTAAAAAAAAGCTGTGGGGAGGTGGACGTCTATAGACATCTAAAAATGACTCATTCATTGATTCTCAGCAGCTTAGATCTCTTTTTCACCCTTTCACTGCCCCTTATTTTCCAAACTACTGATCTTGAGACTGCATCTGTATTGTGAGTTATATATTCAGAAGGGATGCATCGATAACGATACTATATCGTACTCATATCACCCAAATGCTCCTGATGCCTACCCCCATACCAGAATTTCTGGCACTGCAGCTGTGGTGATACTACAAATCACATCATACCTCATGGGACTTGTAGTTCCACACCAACTGGAGTGCAAAGGTTGCCTACCCTGTTTTACAGCATTCTGTAATACTACAATAACTGTTTAAAAAGGGTTATTTAGCATATCACCCCTAAACAGTTTAAAGAAACATACCATTGACTTTGATTTATTTTTAATAATTTCTAGGTACTGGATACAACTCTACCAGAGGGATATTCGTTTAAAGATTCTGACTCATGAGCAGAATTATCAAGCCTTAGCAGATCGTTTAATAGAGCTTAGACAAAGACAGGACCTACAGATCCTTCAGAAAGCTAAAGTCATTGGAATGACAACCACAGGTTGGTTAGTTTCATTTGTAGATGGACATTACAAGAGGATGTTTTTCCCCCCTTCAGAATGGCAAAACTAATGATTGCTTTGACCTTCTGCCAGGTGCTGCCAAATACCGGCGTATCCTCCAGGAAGTACAACCGCGGATTGTTATAGTGGAAGAGGCAGCAGAAGTCTTGGAAGCCCATATTATAACCACACTCAGTTCAGCTTGTCAGCACCTCATTCTGATTGGAGACCATCAGCAGGTAGAGATATACAATTGTGGAAACCATCTACCGGTGTTTATTTTATTTGGTATCTAATGGCAAAATGTATTTTTTTTTTAAGTGTATGTGTCAGCAGAATCTATATTCAGCAAAGTTCTCCAATGCATACTTCCCCAGCTTATGTCACTTTAAAGTTTAACTTCACACAAAAATTCTACTACTTCTTATAATTTCAAACACCAACAGTATAGCTCATGTGTGTGTGTGTGTGTGTGTGTGTGTGTGTGTGGGGGCAAGTAGCTTTTTCTGCAGGTACTTGCTTCCATTTCCTCCTTCTTCATCTAGGCAAGGATGACATTGCCATTGGCTCGTCTTCATTCATTCGGCCTTCTGGGATCATGCAACACATCCCAGGAGGCTTGTCTGCCTGAAGTCCATAATTTTGTGACGGCTGTGTGTCATGAGGAAGTGACAGCTGGCTCCTGAAAGCAAGATGTCACGTGAATTGCTTGAATAGCCTGTGTAATTTGATGTCCTGCACACAGCTGAATATGAAGTCAGGAAAAGGACACACACCCTCGTGGTGACACAGACTCACCCAAGGTGCAGAGTCTAAACGCAGATGGTTTTCACCAGAGCTCCTAATGCAGGAGATGGGTTTTGCTACGTGCTGGTGCCAGGTACCCTCGGGGTTGCCCTACCAAGGAATGAGTAGGGGCTTAGGAGGATATAAAGTGAACAGTACACTAGGTAGAAACTAGAGCATTGCCAGGTTGGGAGGCTGGTCGTAGGACAGTGGCAAGTCATAGAGTAGTTGAGTCGATCCAGGTCAGCAAGAAAACAGGCAATTCAAAATGTATTACGGCTCTCTTGGACAAGCAGGGTAACTGTAAAAAAGACCCACCCAATTCCAGGGCTGGTGCTTAAATACACCGTGGATCAGGTGACACACACAGCTTCATTTCAGGGAGATCGGAAATTCCTGGCAGGGATTCTGCAGGCACCATTAGAGGTAATGGCAGAAATTCTGCACGTGCCTTTGGCACTTCTGGCAGGAATTCTGTGAAAACCATTAGCGCTAAAGGCAGACCTGGAGGTACTATACCATTAGGCAAGCAACATTCAGCTTTCTTATTAGGAAAACCTACCATACTCTGAAGAAGAACTGTTATAGAAGTAACTTGTAATTAAATAATTATTTGAAAAATGAAAATATGATGACAATAATGAAATAAATTATTTGAAATTATCCAAAACTATTATACAGTAGTTTCCCTGTGAAACAAAAAGCCGGCAAAACTATTATTTAAATACTGGTAAATATTGTAAATAAAATATGTCTGCATTCACTGTAGTACCTTGCCATGGCCATGTATGAAGACATTACCTATTGGTTAATCTCACGTATATTTAATATTTTATTGCAGCTGAAGCCAAGCGCAAATGTTTATGATTTGGCCAAGAACTTTAACCTTGAAGTGTCGCTGTTTGAACGTCTCATAGAGTCAAAACTGCCGTATGTGCGTCTGAATTATCAGGTGAGGAAACAGTGATAATGACAATGACCTCACACATTAAATATTTAAAAAAACACTGGTGTTTTACACCAGCCCCCTCAATGTTTTTTTTACATTTTCTTAGCTTCATTCTCTAACCACAGAGTAGGGCAGGTAGGTGACCTAAATGTGTTCCTTAACCCTTTCGCTGCCAAGCCCTCTGGAACATTTTTCAAATCAGCTGGCCAAGCCATTTTTGAATTTTCTGCAATTTTTTCCTATTGATTTGATTTTCAACTGCTGCGTTGCTAGCGTTTGTAAAAGACCCCCCAAACCATATATTTTCTGAAAGCGCAGGCCCGGTAGAATAAAAAGATGGTGATACTAAATTTGTAGGCCCTGCGATAATTGCGCAAATGTTTCTCAAATTAATATTAAACCGATAAAAATACACAATTCAATTGTTAAAACACACCAAAATCAGTATCCGTGCACAAAAAAAAATATTTTTTGACTAAATCTAAAATATAAAACTGTATTGAGTTAATAAATAACAAATATTAGCAAATTTGTAATTGCGCCTTTTTGCGAAAAGGTAAAAAAATGAAGGTATGCAAAACTGTAAATAATCGACTTATGTAAAAAATTGTTTTGGTGTTTGTGTTGTGATAAAATGATACAGGTGTATATTTAATTGCAACACAAGGTATCACAACGCATGGCAATGAGTCACAAAGCTTTGCCATGCGCTGCCACAGTTAATTTAATGTTTTTTTTTAAAGAAAAAAATAAAATAAAAAAGATCATGCACTGCGATGCGTTCTAACAACGCACTGCAGCGCATGTGCATGGTGTGCACCACAATATGTGTGTGTTATGTGGGGGGAGGGAGGGGTTGTGCTTTTTTTTATTATTTTTTTTTTACACATTTTTTATTTTTTTTAAATAATTTTATTTTGTTTTACATTTTTTTATTTTAATTTTTTTAACATTTTTTATTTATTTTTTAATAATTTTGTATTTATTTTTTTTACTGTTGGGGGGGCTACGGTGAAATCTCTGGGGTCTAAACAGACCCCTGACATTTCCCTTTTGAAATAGAAAAAGAAATTGAGGACACCAAATCCTCAATTTCTTTTTCTGCAGCCTCAGCACTCAATGAATGGGAAGCACTCAGTACAGAGGCTTCCCATTCCATTCAGAAACTGCTGATAGTAAAATATTTACTATCAAGCAGTTTATGAATGGGGAGAAGCCTCCATAGGGAGTGCTACTCCCCATTCAGAAATTCATGAATGAACAGGCTGTGATGTAAATCACAGCCTGTTCATTCATAACTGGGGATACATAGTACTATGGGGGTTATTCACAAAGCTGCCGAAGGATCTAGCCATAGCTTCGGCTGATCCTTCGGCTAGCTTCGGCCCCAGGACACCTTCGGTTGAGTAGAACCGAAGGGCTGCTGTACGGGCTATTCACTTGAGCCCGTACAGCTCCCGAAGTTGGCCGAGCGGCTCAGTCGAGCTGAAGGCATATGCTTCGGCTCGACTGAGCCGAGGTGAAAGCCGAAGCTGGAATGGCTGGCCGACAACCTGCTACTGACAGCTTGGCGGAGCCAGCCATCATCTCACGGTTGGCTCCGGCCACTTGCATGCAGAGACAGATCAGCGTCCCCTGGTTAGCAGCTAACCACGGACGCTGATGTGTCATTACACTGAGAACCCGGCGGAGCCGCTGTGATATCACGGCGGCTCCGCCAGGTTCTCAGTGTGTAATGACAGTTCAGCATCTCCTGGTTATCTAGTAACCAGGGGACGCTGGACTGTCATTACACACTGAGAACCCGGCGGAGCCACCATATCACGGCGGCTCCGCCGGGTTCTCAGTGGGTAATGACAGTTCAGCATCTCCTGGTTACCTAGTAACCAGGGGACGCTGGACTGCCATTACACACCGAGAACCTGGCGAAACCGCCATTATATCCCAGCGGCTCCGCCAGGTTCTCAGTGTGCAATGACAGTTCAGCATCTCCTGGTTACCTAGTAACCAGGCACCCTGGACTGTCATGAGAGCTTGTCGGAGCCGGCTTTGATATGACCGCCGGTTCCGACAAGCTCTCATTTTAATGACAACTGGTCCCGTGCAATAGAAAAAGTTTGGCGGAGCTAGCTGTCACTGCTAGCTCCGCCCAATCATTTTCTCATTTTTCTCTACTTTTTCTATTCTGCTCGGTACCACAGAGGTACCGAGCAGAATAGAATAACTGAGCCGAAGGGCGCTCTCCGGCATTCGGCTATTCACTCACTGCTGTTTGGGCCCTATGAGAATAGGCCGAACAGCAACGAGTAGCCTGCCGGAGGTTCGGCTAAGCCGATCCAGATGTTGGATTAGCTGAGTCAAACTCCTTCTGCACTTCGGCCGACCCAAACCCAGCCGCAGCAAGCCGTTGTACGGCTGATTTCAGTCGGTGTACGGCTGAAATCAGCTGTACAAGCCTGAAGTGAATAGCCGAACGGCGTTCGGCTCACTTCACTTCGTGTTGGTTATTCACACGGCTGCCTTCGGCAGCTTTGTGAATAACCCCCTATGTGTCCCCAGTTATTTACAAACACCGGAGTGATCACGCGATCACTCCGGTGTTTGTGCTGCACAGAGGATCGGTAAATATCAATGATACTTATCGATCCTCCGTACGGCCACGCACAGAGCCGCTGTCATCCGGAAACTGACATGATGACAGCGGCTCCGTTCTCCTCACCGCTCAGCCATCCTGAAACTTGTGGCTTCTCCCCGCCAGCCGACGCTTGCTGCTCCGCGCCCCACCCCCCAACCCTGGAGATTTTTTTTTATCCCCGTTGCCACAGCCCCTACAAGCGGGGGTCAGCAGCGGGGATCCATGGAGTCACAGATCCCTGCCTGGAGCGGCTCCAGGCAGGGATGAGAGGCTCCAGATGCCGCCAACTTTTCCCATTGATTTGATTTTCAACTGCTGCGTTACTAGCGTTTGTAAAAGACCCCCCAAACCATATATTTTCTGAAAGCGCAGGCCCGGTAGAATAAAAAGCTGGTGATACTAAATTTGTAGGCCCTGCGATAATTGCGCAAATGTTTCTCAAATTAATATTAAACCGATAAAAATACACAATTCAATTGATAAAACACACTAAAATCAGTATCAGCGCACAAAAAATAATAATTTTCTGACTAAATCTAAAAGATAAAACTGTATTGAGTTAATAAATAACAAATATTTGCAAATTTGAAATTGCGCCTTTTTGCGAAAAGGTAAAAAAATTACGGTACGCAAAACTGTAAATAAGCAACTTATGTTAAAAAAAAATGTCACGCTGTGTTGGTGTTTGTGTTGTGATAAAATGATACAGGCGTATATTTATTGCAACACAAAGATCACAACGCATGGCAATGCGTCACAAAGCTTTGCCATGCGCTGCCACAGTTAATTTAATTTTTTTTTAAAGAAAAAAATACATTAAAAAAATCATGCACTGCGATGCGTTCTAACAACGCACTGCAGCGCATGTGCATGGCGTACACCTCAATATGTGTATGTTATGTGGGGGGAGGGAGGGGTTGTGCTTTTTTTTATTATTTTTTTTGTACACATTTTTTTATTTTATTTTTTTTTTACATTTTTATTTTTTTTCTTTTTTATTTTTTTACATTTTCTATTTATTTTTTAATAATTTTTTATTTTTATTTTTTTACTGTTGGGGGGGCTGCGGCGAAATATCTGGGGTCTAAATAGACCCCTGACATTTCCCTTTTGAAATAGAAAAAGAAATTGAGGACATAAGTCCTCAATTTCTTTTTCTGCAGCCCCAGCACTCAATGAATGAGAAGCCTCAGTACAGAGGCTTCTCATTCATTCACAAACTAATGATAGTAAAAATATTTTACTATCATTAGTTTCTGAATGGGGAGGAGCCTCTGTAGTGAGTGCTAGTCCCCATTCATAAATTCTTGAATGAACAGGCTGTGATGTAGATCGCAGCCTGTTCATTCATAACTGGGGACACATAGTACTATGTGTCCCCAGTTATTTACAAACACCGGAGTGATCAGACGATCACTCCGGTGTTTGCTCTGCACAGAGGGATCGTTAAATATCATTGATATTTAACGATCCCCCGCTCGGCCACGCTACACAGAGCCGCTGTCATCCAAAAACTGACAGGATGACAGCGGCTCAGAACAGAAGACGCTCAGCCATCCTGAATTGCGGCCAGCCGCCGCTCGTTCCCGGGACCCCCCCGACCCCCCCGACGGTGATTTTTTAATGGATCCCCGCTGCCACAGACCCTACAAGCAGTGGGGATCCATGGAGTCCCTCATCCCTCCCTGGGATGGCTCCAGGGAGGGATGAGAGACTCCAGATGCCGGCGGCCGGCAGCGGCGGTGCCGGCGGGGGGCGCCCGGTATTTTTGAAAATAGCGGTCATCAGCGGCTTGTGAGCCGCTGATGACAGCTATTAATTTAAAGGGGACAGTCTGCTGAACAGTTATACTATAAGCTGATGGTCGCTAAAGCGACCATCAGCTTATAGTAGAACTGTAAATGCCAGGTCCGTATGGCATACTGACCTGGCCAGCTGGAAGCAATTTTGTAGGTCCGTATGCCATACGTCCTTGGCAGCGAAAGGGTTATTAAACCTGCAGCATGTTTTTGCACATATCTATTGCTAGCAAGCAGTAGATATATGCAAAAACGTAAAAAAAAACCTTTTCACATAGGTTTAAACTTACCTATGTCTCCGCCGCGCGCTCCCGTCCGAACATCTGAAGAGTCTGGGGTGGCCGCAAAGGATCTTGGGGCGGGTGCAATGCGCAGTTCAGATGTTCAGCCGGGAGACAAGGAGAGACACAAGGTAAGTATATGCAGCAGCGTGCACCCGGACAGACTCCGTGGGATGTCAGAGGAGATGAGGACAGAGGAGTCAGCTCTGGATGGGAGACCTGCAGCAGCGCTTGAGGGACAGTTGAAAACTACACTAAAGAAGGCATGATTTTTTTTCTTTTTTTTGAGGCATGATTTAAGGTAAGTAGACATAAGAGAGGTCACTCACCTACCTCAGTTGTCAGCAGGGTTGTATACATTTCAGAAAAGGATGGGCGCAAACAGAAATCCTTTGACAGGTAAACCATACTGTATATGCAGTCATATCTACAAGGAAAAAAAACCAAAACATATTAAGCATTGTATATATTTTTAATAGAATTTGAAATCAGTTTTTAAAGGGAGGTCAGTTTTCAAGAGCAGGTCTGTGCATGGGTGTGCATGCTGTACAGATGTGCGCAGCCATGGGAATGAGCTTAGGGCTCATTCACACAAGTGTGCACACATGTACAGTGGCACTTCTGACACTCATGAAAGTAGCAATGTTATGTTACCTCTCTCTCCCACGTAGCATTGCCACTCTATGAATTGGCCAAGAAGTGGAGTGTGGCAAACTTTATGTGTTTGGAGTCAAAAGTTAGATGCCAGCTGTAATTTTTTTTAAAGCATTGGCTACCTGGCTCCTAGGATTGGTCCAGCCTTGTGTTGCAGACCTAACAAGCTTACAGTGTTTCAAAAATACATCATGTGACTTGAAGTATAGATCAGAAACAATATGTTGACTTACTCATTTCAAAAGTATATGTTTTTGTTTATGTCTTTCTGACTTCTCCTGCCTGGATTGGTTTTCTTAATAAACATTAACTTTTGTGTTATTTTAGCACCGCATGAGGCCGGAAATAGCTCGATTATTGACTCCTCACATCTACAAAGAGCTGGAAAACCACCCTTCTGTACTAAACTATGAAAATGTAAAGGTGGGCCATAGTTTTTATTTTATACACAGATAACATATAAGTTGTGATTTTGACTTACCTGACCTGCAGACAACCAGGAAAATAGCATTTTCAGAAGTATGGCTTAGTAATACTCTCCATATTTTCCAAGTACATCCGTCCTTTAAAGCTGGACATATTAACTACTTCAGGACTGCTGTAGGTCCTGAAGTAGGTTATGCTGCTGCAGCCATGATCTTGGCACTGTTTTTCTCACCAGGTGATTCTCTTTTTCTACATAATCTGTACAGAATTGCCCAAATCACTTATAGCAGCCTGCATAGGGGGTGCCCCCTCATGGTTTTCAGGGTTCCCAGATCCTCTGGAAGACCCGGGACCACAGCAAATAGTGTCAGAATGGAGAACGGGGGTAGACATCTGTTCCCCAATCTGCTCTGGGAGCAGTGACTCAGGAAGCGCTGTGCTCACAGGGCTTGAGTCACAGCTGTCAGAGGCCGGTTGAAATACCGGTTACACAGGGGATCCGGCACAAGGCTGTGCTTGATCCACTATACTGGAGGCCAGGGGAGACATCTGGGGTCCAAAATACTTCCATAGTTTGAGCCACTTACCTGGCATAAGCATGCAACAACCAAGTCGCTATCAAGTCAGAATTCCTGCATAATTTGTTAACCAACAACCAGTAAGCTAGCATTTTCAGATGAACAGGTTACTATTAGAAACCTTGGTTGCCGTGTGCTACTGCACTTTAAACTTTGCACTTAGGCTAAAACAACCTCTTAATGGATTGCATTGTCTCCCTAACTTGCAAGAACATTTCTTTTTTTTCTTCTCATTTTAGGGAATCTCATCCAACCTCTTCTTTGTGAAACACAATTCCCTGGAAATGGAGATTAAAGATGGGAAGAGTCACCAGAACATGCATGAAGCTGCTTTTGTTGTAGAGCTATGCAAGTATTTCCTGCATCAAGAGTACAAGCCATCTCAGATCACCATCCTCACCACTTACACGGGGCAGCTTTTCTGTCTCCGCAAGCTCATGCCAGCCAATACATTCTCTGGAGTTAAGGTTCATGTTGTGGACAAGTACCAGGGGGAGGAGAATGACATCATTCTTCTCTCACTGGTCCGCAGCAACAGAGATGGAAAAGTGGGTTTTCTTAAGATTGCCAACCGCATATGTGTGGCGCTGTCTAGGGCCAAAATAGGAATGTACTGTATTGGCAACATGGACATGCTGAGCAGTGTGCCTCTCTGGAGCCGTATTATTGGAACTCTGCAACAGAAGGCTCAAGTAGGAAGCCACCTTATGCTTTACTGTCAGAATCACCCTGAGACACATAGCCTTGTGAATTGTGCCAATGATTTTAAGTCTGTACCAGAAGGAGGCTGCGACAAAAAATGTGAATTCCGCCTAAACTGTGGACATGTGTGCACACGTGTTTGCCATCCATATGACCAAGAGCACAAAGAATACCAATGCAATAAGGCCTGCCAAAAAGAGTTATGTAAGGATGGGCATAGATGCAAACGTAAATGTTTTGAGATCTGTGGAGAGTGCATGGTGGAAGTGGAGAAGGAGATAACATCGTGTGGCCATCTGCAGATGGTACCATGTAGCATCTCTGAAAATACGTTCCGTTGCACTTTGCCCTGCCAAAAGACCTTACAGTGTGGCCATCCATGTGAAAAGGCCTGTGGAGATAACTGTGAAGTGCGCTGTCAAAAACAAATAAGTGTAGAGCTAAAATGTGGTCATACGCAACAAATTAAATGCTGGCAGAAGCGAGACCTAGAATTCGGCATGCCTGTGACGTGCAGACATTCTTGTGATGCTACATTACGCTGTGGTCACAAGTGCTCTGGTACTTGTAACACATGTTTACAAGGAAGATTTCATGTTGGTTGCAGACATCCCTGCAAGGCTATTTTAGTTTGCTCACATGAATGTCAAGAACCGTGCACAAGGGAATGTCCTCCTTGTAGCAGTCCATGTCAGAACCGGTGTATCCATAGCCAGTGTAAAAAGAAATGTGGACAGAAATGTGCCCCGTGCATGGAGCCTTGTTCTTGGAGCTGTCAGCACTACAGGTGCACTCGGCTATGTTCCGAACCCTGTGACCGTCCTCCATGCGATGTCCCTTGTGACAAGAAGCTCCGCTGTGGACACCCATGCATCGGTTTGTGTGGGGAGCCCTGTCCTAAAAAGTGTCGCATATGCCATGAAGATGAAGTCACTGAGATATTATTTGGCTTTGAAGATGAACCAGAGGCATGCTTTGTTGAGCTACAAGACTGTGGACACATTCTTGAGTCTTCAGGCATGGATACTTACATGAGCGGACAAAGTGACCCTGAAGAGGGGAGTGCAATTAAACTGAAAGAATGCCCGAAATGCAGGACTCCCATAAGGAGAAACTTGAGATATGGGACCGTAATTAACAAAACCCTGAGCGAGATTGAAAAAGTCAAAGAACGGATATTAGGGCCAGATATTCAGAGAAACGAAACCAGTGAAAGACTCAAAGCAAGTCTGCAGCTGATGACTGATGTAAAAAGAAACCTTTATGAAGACTATATGGAATTAATAGAGACCCTGGACAATCCAGAAACACAACTCAGAACTTTGCTCAACCTGGAAAACGTGATGCGTTTCTACGAAAGACTAGCAAAACTGTTTAATAACATTAGCAAAGTTGACACAGAAGAGAAGTCTGACTTGAAGAATCGTTTATTGCTGATTAAGGAGTGGCTGGGGAAGACCCGTTCATTCCTTTCAGAGCAGGAATTATCTGATCTGCAGACTGAAGTGGCACGCTTCACTTACCTTCTACGACTGCTTGTGAAATGTAAAGAAGCCAAAGTGAGGATCACACCAGAAAACCAAAGGGAGATAACTTTTCTAAGGGATATGTTGGAAAGCAATAAACCATTTACTGAAACGAATGAAATCCTTGTAAAGACAAAATTAAAGGAGCTAGATAAACGTCTTCCAAATACAGGACTTGGGTTAACAGAAGATGAACGTGTGATGATTGTACAGGCCATGGGTCTTCTGAAGGGTCATTGGTTTAAATGTCCTAACAACCACATCTATTGTATCACAGAATGCGGTGGAGCAACAGAGCAATCCCAATGTCCAGAATGCAAAGAAGGCATTGGTGGAACAAACCACGCGCTCCTTCCAACCAACAGGCTGGCTACTGAAATGGATGGAGCGCAACATGCAGCTTGGTCAGATGTTGGAAACAATATTATGAATTTCCAAAACCTCTTCGACTAATTCCCTTCATACAGAGAAGGTACTTGCTAAATGTAGGCTTAAAAATATAAGAAAGAAGAAAGCAATTAAAGTAGAACTCCAGTCAAAACCTTTCTTTTTGGAAAAGTGAAGAACCTAGCTCAGGTTTTTATTTTGATGGTGTCTTTAGCCTCTTCCTGCGTAGTTAGCAGTGCAAAAAGCAATGGGAACTCACCCCAAGGGAAATACAGCAGTGAGAAAACCTGACAGATCAAAACTCTTCCACACTTTATTCCAAACTTGACATTTTGGCTGGAATTCAACTTTCAACAATAGTTTTGTGTAAATATGAACATTTCAAACCTAATTTTGAAATCCATCATGTGTAATTAGTTGGCAATCTTCTTTATATATTTCAAAACAATGGTGTTTGGTTTTGAAAATCACCCACCCAGTAAAAGTGTCTGCCTTGGATGCTGAGAAAGGAGGGGAGGCAGGCAGGTTTTGAAATAAACTCATATCTGGATTGTCTAATGAGCTGAAGGTCTGACATTTCACATCTGGGTTTCTGGTGGAAGGTGGAGGAAATGTACAGACAGCACTTGTAGGAGGCAGAGGGGTGACAGACAAATAATTAAAAAGTCTGATTATGCCTGGCCTTGAGGGCAGAATGCTATGAAACAAAAGAGATGTCAAATATTTTTGCCATTCTTTTTAACACCACTTATCAATCCCTCAGGCATAGCAAAATATCACTGGAATTTTTTCAACTATAATGCACAAAGATATATCTTATATAGAAATGAATTATTTCAATACATGATATAAAAATTATGTGACTAATACAATATTTTTGTTTAAGTACAAATTATGAATAAAGTTTTATATATCAAATTCTGTGTAACACTGAACTACATATAATAACATCATTGTTTTCCCATTGTTGGCAAGTTTTATTTTCCTTCGCTAGCTTAGAAAAAGTACATGCAAGAATAATTCTTTAACTGCAAGGTAGTCTAGTGTCATTACTTATTTAATGCCAATATGACAGCGGTCAGAAACTGTAACAAAACAGTGATCCAACCATTAGGATAGGTGGGTATCTGAAGTGCTGCTTTGGGGAGGAGGACGGGGGAACATAAAACATCTGCATTTAAGTGTGCATTAAAATGCAAAGGAATGCATCCTTAAAGTGTCACTAAAGCCAATATTAAAAAAAATAGGATTTTGTTCTGACCGTAAAATCTTTTTCTCAGAGTCCTTTGAATATTGTATTTCTCTATAGTTCATTAAAGGACAGGCTCTGAAGAAGTATGGTGGGCTAGCTGGAGAAACTTCCAGGATTTAATATTATCCATCAAGAATCAACTAGCAGCTTGCTAGTAGAATCTCACCGAAGGAACAAAATAAACCAATATAAAAAAAAGCAAAAGAGAAGGAGATATCCATTCTCATGAGGACACTAAGTGAAACTCTCACGCCTGAGGTGTGAGGGGTTATTGCCCTAAAATGATAGGTTTTATTTTTCTGCATAGTGTACATTTCTCCTTAAGGCAGCAGCATAACCTTACATCTCAGACTTCTTCAGAGCTGTGTCCTTCAATACATATTCAGTACCTTTATTTGGAATCGTTTGTGTACCTCCTAATGGCATCTGACAACACATCAAGAAAAATACTTTTGAAATCTCCCCTACTCCAACTTCCTCTATGTGGGAACGGAGGCAGCCTGCTCAGCACACTCCCAACATGCACTACAGGAAAAGCACAGTAAAACGGCCATTTCTCCAATTGCTGCCCATACAGCATCTCCCATGAGCTTCAGAGTGAAAACTGTCAGTAAAAGGTAGAGAAGCTATTAAGCCGTGCTCGATGGGGTGCTTCCCCACACTGCCAGAGCTGTGAAGCTGGCACCAGGAAGCACAAAGAGAGCAGCCCCCATCTCTAGGTCTGGCAGAGAGCTGCTCCTACACACATACCTCTGGGCTTACATATTACTGCCAGCATCTATACATGGCAAACCCAACTCTCAGAACCCTTCTATGCTCACCCTGGCGCTGCAGCTGACATGTTTCCTGCTACACAGGTCCCAGGCTCTGAAGAGGAGAAGCCTAGAATTTACCCAGCAGGGAACATGCTAGCTGTCACTCCGAAGCCTGTTAACGGGCTTGTTCACATTATGTCTGGATCATGTCCAGACCAGAACAGTTTGTTCCCGGACCAGAAAAGCGTCCCAATGTATCCCTATGGTATTTCTTAGCCCTGTTCACACCAGCATAGTCCATTCCGGTCCAGACAAATAAAATACAGCTTGCCTTATTTTCTCTGGTCTGGAATGCATGAAAAACGCATCAAAAACATACAAACGCACTGGACCGCACCTGTAAGCATATTAAGCACTAAAACAAAGCGGTAACAACGCAGCAGAAATTCATCTAAATGCAATGCAACGCACTCCAGATTTGGTCCGGAAAATGGTGTGAACCTCAACACTTATGTATGTATGCAGGGATCCTATGTTCCTACTCTCCTCTACTGTATCTCTGCGCTCCTCCTGGCTGTGGGAGATCCAGCCTCCATCCCCAGCAGTGTGTGATCAGGAGAGCCGGCAGCTGTAGGGTGCTATAACCAAGGAAGATGATAACTGAAACAGCGCATTGGTAACTGGGAAATGTAGTTTGAGGACAGCAGTGCACACAACCACAAGAAATTGGTAACTGCTAGCAACCACAAACAGAAGTGAAGAGACAGGAAGCTCTGTCAGGGGGTGCAGAAAGAACATTTAGAGGACAAAAAAAAAAGTAATTTGAATAAACTATGCTGGATTAGGAGGTTATTCTAACATGGAACATTTAGTGACAATTTAAACCAAGCCTATCATTAGAAAAGTGTGTACAGACTGATATGACATGGCAAATCTACTGTACCCATCCTTTGCTATTACTACTTGGGCAATTCTCATAATTAGTAAAAAAAAACGCCAGCTTAATTAATCACTTTTCGTCTGGCTGTTGTTAGTAAATGGCCGCACAGCGGCTTCTTAAATACGGGTGGGCATTTTAACCTCCCTGGCGATCTGATTATGTCAGTATTTTTGAATGTCAAAGTGGTACATTGTTTTGCATGGAAATTAGTTTTTTTACATTGTAGGCCTGTCATTCTTAGGAATAACTCACTTAAATCTGTCCAAACAAGAGTCTAGTAGACATCCCGGGTATGATAAAGTTTGAAACACGAAATCATAAATTATAATATAATAATTAGAAATAATTATGAAAAATAATAATAAATGTAATTCAATAATGTAATCAAACCAAAAACACTGGAATTTGTCCAAACAAGGGTGCAATATTACTAGTCACTGTATATTGCTTTAGTAAACATCCCAGGTATGAAATTTTTTTAAACATGGGAATGCACAAAGTCCGCCATCACAATCAGGACAATGGAGCCTGGTTTCCTTTCTGATTTTTTTCCACTGTCATCTCGGTTCGAGCAACAAACCACGCACATCCTTGTAGATGCTGACTTTTTCTCGGTTGGTGGGATGTAGTCCATGAAGTGAAGACCAGTCAGGCGTTTCCGGGTTGACAACGCCAACAGCACGACGTCCAGCTCTATTCACAGCCATTGATGGTGTTTGGTGGTTCACAAAGATACGTTCTGCAACTTTCCAAATGAAGTCAGAATGAATCACAGGCTTGTCACTCTTTTTTTTGAGCAGAATGTAGGCATTCCACAAGCATTGCTTAAGAAGATGCCTGAAGATCTTCTTATAGTACTTCTTTTGCTGTTTCCTCATTGCTGGGTAGAATGTCATTGCTTGGTCGGCTCTGTCAACACCTCCCATGGTGTTATTGTATTCTATCACTACTTGTGGCTTCATGATTTCTTTCCCACCTTTCGTGCGTACCATAACAATGGAGGCATTATGAGCTGTACTCATTAGTCACACATCTTTTTTCTCACGCCATTGCAGTGCCATCATTTTGCCTTTCTGCCAGGCAACCATTTCTCCAGTCTTCAGCTTCTTATTGCCAAACATTGGCGGCATGTCGTGCCGGTTAGCCCTAATGGTTCCATAGGCCTCTGTTTTGTTTTGCAGAAGAAACTCATAAAGTTCAGGAGACGTATAAAAGTTGTCGGTTGTTACTCAATAGCCCTGATTTAGCAATGGCTCAATGAGTGAAAGAACTGAAGATGTTGCCATTCCATAGTTGCTGTATTTTGGATTGAATTTGGTTCCTTTCCCAGTGTATATGACTGAATTCCAAATGTAGCCAGTTGAAGATTCGCATAGCATGTAGGATTTTACGCCAAATCGTGCTCTCTTTGATGCAATGTATTGTACCCAGCTGAGCCTTCCCTTGTAGGCCATTAGACTTTCATCTATGCTGATATCTCTTTCTGGCACATAGCTCCGTTGGAAATTCTATAGAATCATTTGAGATACTTTCCAAATTTTCTTTAGTTTTGGTGCAGGATGAGTAGTTTCATAAAATTCTTCGTTGTTTGCGAAGTGTAAAAACTTCATGATGAGGGTAAACCTATACTCTGACATGACCATGCCAAAGAATGGAGTGGCAAGTAATTTATTAGTTGTCCAATACCACTTCTGCAGGGGTTTCCCCACCACTCCTTGAAGTATTATCAGGCCCAGAAATTTCCAGATGTCATCTTTGGTCACTGGTTCCCACTTTCTGCTTCTTGAAAACTTCCGATGCAGAGTAGCTAATTGTTGCTCTGTGTACCGGTTTGTCTCAGTAACTATTTCTTCAATAACCTCATCGGTCAGAAATAATTGTAAGTGTGCAAAGGGGTTGTCGTGTTCAACGTCTACTTTCATACCAGATGCTCCAGTAAATGGGAATCTTGGGGGCGCTGCCTGATCCGTACCACAGTCAATAGACTATCAATCTTGCACATCACTGAGCTCAGTGGCAGAATCGTCACTGTCGTCACTTTCAGTGTCCGATGACGAATTTCCCAACAAATCGCTATCGCTCAATTCTACAAGTGATTCTAAATCACTATCGCTGTTTTCTAGCTGGTCCAAAACAGCTTTTGACCTAAGGGGACGCTTTTCGGATCCCATGGACGCTCTCAAGTCTCTAGACAGAAAGAACTGTAAAAGTGCAGGCAGGGCACTGGACAAAGCTCTAGGGACAAAACTGAGGTGGAATGGTTTGATACATTAATATAATCATACAGATTACAATGTATTGTAGGTGTATGTCATGTTTTCACTTTTGAAATTCCCGCCGATTCCGCCCCCCTGCGACGCCGGCGCTCGCAGGGAAGGAACCCGGAAGACGGATGCCGGCATCGGCCGGAGGACACAGCGGGGCTCATACGGACAATGTAAGTGGCACTACCGTATAATCCCGAGTGTGGCTCAGGGTTACCGCTTTTGGTACTGAAAATTAACCCTGAGCCACATTCGGGATTGCCACCTGGGAGGTTAAAACATGCTTTCCCAGCTTCCACTCATGCGCACACATGTGTGAAACCGACTATAAGTTAAGCAGCTGGCGATGGCTGTATACATATAAGCATTTGCTTGTACATTGTCTGCATGTGTGCGTCGCCCCTGTCGCCTATCCCAGGCTCCGCTGTGCCACGTGCGGACCTGGGACTGGCACGGCGGCTCTGTGAATGGAGATGGAAGGGATGTGGATGTGATGTGTATTACATCACTTCCGCCTCCAGCTGTTGTTTCTGCAGCTTCTGTAGCCAGAGAGAAGCTGATCTCTTTTTCATCAGCTTCTTTGGGGGTCCCTAGGTGACATTAGGGGTCTTATAGACCCCTGATGTCTCCATAAAAAGGACTTGTCACTGTAAATTTGCTGTCACATAGGAGACTTCTTAGTCCCCTATGTGATAGCAATAAAGTTAAGTGCAAAAAAAAAAAGTTTAAAAAAATGCCTGGACAGGAATGGGGTTTAACAACCTGCTCTTTAAGCATTTAATAAAGCACTGAATGTGACATTTGTCTAGCACAGTAGGTGCGCTATGCGGCACCTTGCCTTATTCATGAGAAACTGGAACTGCTGTGGAGGGCTAAACCCTATTAGTTCAGCCCTACTCAACAGTCCAGTTTCTTACGTGGCTCCTTGAAATGCCCACCCTTGAGTGAGACCCTCTGTCCAGTTTGTGTTGCTGTCCGAGTCTCCATTGGGGAGATTCACCCCTCTATTTATATTGGTGACCATTGTCCTCTATAAATAAAGTGAGGGGAAATCTAAAATGTCCCCAGAGCAAGAGGTAAGGGGAAATCTTCCAATGGGGACACCTGTCTCAAGCTGGGTATACACGGTTAGAATTTTTTTGCAGATGGCCGTTTGAAATACAGTGTTTCACTTTGGGGAAATTTACTCTAACGTCCTGTTGTCACAGGGCAACACAGGAAGCGAAAATAAATTTCACAGGTCATAGGAAGTGAAGGGACATTTCTATAACAGTACACAAGCAGCAAAAACTAAAGTGGCAGATGTTTTACCAGTCCCTATTCAAAACGAAAACATGGCTCTACAGACACAAATGTTGCTTTTGCACTTACTTGCCCTTTAAAAAGTGAATAACTATATAGCAGTTGAGGTCTAACGAAAATCAGAAAATGGGTTAGTTTGGTGTGCACTGAACACAGCTGTCTGTTTGGTCTATGAAAAATATTCCTCAGAGTAGTGAAAGATAAATAATTACTCGGCTTTAAATAAGTCGTACTCCGCCTCCATGGTTACCACACTTTCTATCCTTTATGTTAAACTCGATGGTTACCGCACTTTCTAGCCCTTGTTTTAAACTCGATTGTATCGGAAATGACGTGCGGGTTTGCTCATGTTAGTCTTCCGACTGACTCTTGCGTTAGGTCAGCAGTGGTTCCGGGGAAATATGGAGCCGCTACAGAAGCTGGTGGACAATCTGCGTGCTGTGTTGGGGAAACTGAGAGGCGAGTCCGGGCTCTGCTTTCTTTTATTGTGATGGATACATGCACAGCAATAGACTGATGTATAGGGTGGAGGGGAATAGGACATGATGGACAGTGATTGGTGAGCACATGTCCTCTGCTGCTGTCAGTAGTGATGGAAGCCTTGACTCTTCCTGTACCAGATAGCTCTGAGCAGAAAGTGACCCTTCACGTGCTGGGGAACTACAACTCCCAACATGCCTTGTTTTCTTTTAAGGGTCAGACAGAGGGGAAATCTTCGAGTAGGGATACTTGTTTAGGTTGCAACTGTGCACGGTGGAGTTTTTCTACACTTCCTGTCATGTCCTTGGGACAGAAAATGGGAATCTCCATAAACAGCAGAAAGAACCCAGCAGAGGTTTGAAATTCTCCTTTATTGTGTTTAGTTTTAAAGAATCAGTAAAGGATTTTTTATTTTAATTTTAACATTTGGATAGCAATGAGGGGATAGACCCACCGTGAGGTCTGTGCCCCTGGGAAGCTGTCCCTTCACTATATAATTTGATTGTACAATCTCCTTTACATCTGCCATCAGCTATGTCCTGCAAGGGCCTGCCTTATTGGATACTATTTGATTGGGTTGTTTACATTTATCCTCCTTAGTACACAATTTTGGTAGATCTAAAGGAGATTCTACAATCCGTTTGTATAGCGTATGGCCAGCCATGATGTTACTAGAGCAGGAATGGAGGGACAATCCTCCAATGGGGACATTTATTCCTGTTACAGCTAAGACAGGATTGCCTTCACCTGGGAAATATATCCTTCCTCACTTCCTGCAGAGTCTTCAGGACAGGAAGTGAAGAAAAATGATCCCTGCACTGTATGGGAGTTGGAACTCTTAGTCACTGCACCAGAAGATGAACGCTGTGTGTAGTGTCTGATGAATGAGACTGCTATTTGTACAATACACAGCAGTGATCCAGCAATAGGATAGTCGTCATTAGAAGTAATTTATCTGACCTCTGGCTATTCCAAACAAAAAAAATCCCTGGAGTTCTGTTTGAAGCTTGTGAAATGCTGTGTAAATGTTTGTTACACATTGAACTTCACACCAGTGTTCGCAAGATGATGAATTGGACCAATCGGTCACTGGCAAAACACATGGACTGAAAGTGATTCTGTCTCTCTTTGTGCAGATGGTGAATCCAGAGAAGGCAGCAACTTCAATCCACAGTTCTGGGAAACACTGGGTAAGAAATTGTGAACTCTGGTCGTATACGCCATAAGAACTGGATTTTCTGACGTAAGGGCGGGTTCACACCATTTTCTGGATCAGATCTGGTCCGGAAAATGGTTTGAACCTGCCCGCAGTTCCAGTGCATTCCAGACCAGACAAAATGAGACCTTCAGTATTTTTCTGGTCTGTTCTGGAACGGACTGGTGTGAACAGAGGCAAAAAATAGCATAGGGATACATTGGGATGCATTTTGGGTCTGGAAACAATCTGGTCTGGAGATGAGCTGGATGTGGTGTGAATGGACCCTAATTCAAATGGTTTTTTCATATCCATGGACTTTTATTGGAATGCAACCCCAACTAAAATGAACAAAAGGCAATCAACATAGGCCTTTCCTTTTCTCTAGATTTGATGTTAAATCTATTGACTTGTAGATCGCCAACAGAAGGAGCTCAGTGCTTGCAGCCTGTTGAGACAAGGGAGTGCATTGAGTCAGCTGACCCATAGACTTGAATTGTAAAAAGGTGTAGCATTGCAAAGCAGGAAGCAGAACCTGCATATGGAATGAGTAAATGTGGCTGCTCCTGTTTACATTCAGAATTACAAACTTTATTTAGAAACAAGTATTTAAAATATTAACGCACATTGATAATGTAATTAAAGAAGTGCTCCTGGAATTTTTTTTAATTGACCCTTTCTGAATGATCTCAATGTTCTGTGCACGAGGTTATTACCAAAGGGAGCGTGGGAGGAATGTGTGCAATGCAATGATCTATGAGGGTCTCCACTCTGAATAAAGATGTATGGGGAGGGGGGCCATTAATATGGGACAAACTGTCTTGCCATAGAGAGATTTTAGTATAGTCACCGTTGTCGACCATATAGCAGCATTTGCCACACCCAGCATACATATGAAGGCTGCAGGTTAGTGCCCAAGATAAGACCGGATTGGGTGTTGGCACCAGTGTGTAAAGCTTAGATAGCTAACACGAAGGAGGAAGGAAGGGCTGCTTTATTTGATACTATTCTAGTAAACCCTAACGGACTGTTAGCAAATGTTGTCACTATAAAATATGCATCATTTCTTATATACAGTTCCTAAAAGATACAAACACTTCATCCCCATTGACTTCTATGGTGCTCATCTAACTTTGTCTCCTGGGTGGGAGATGAGCTCTCTTAGAAGTCAATAGGGATGTACTGCGCAGGCACCCTTAGGAGAAAGCAATGTCCCGCTGCAGTATGTAAACAAGCAAAGTGCACTTACCCTTTAAAGAAGAACTCCGGTCTAATTCTAAGGCAGGATACTTATCAAACTGGGCAAATGCATGAACAGAGGTTACCTTTGCAGTAGATCCAGGCACCTATAGATATATACTAATATTCATTGTCCTGTAAAAATTGAGCATAGCTCCACCATCTTCTGCTTTTGGAACCTTCCCATTGGTCAGTGAGACCTCTCACCACCTTAGAGCAGAAGTAGGGGAGGGTAAAACCAAGGTCCACCTGTATAGGAAGTACTTCAGCTGCTTAGATGCCTAGATGCTCTGAATATTGTTGTTGTTTCTGCTGCAGGTAAACTCTGCTCACGTTCTCATCATAAGTGCAGTTTGATTTGTCCTGTTGGTTGTAATATACAAATACAAACCAGAATTGCAGACAAGGAGACCCAACAGAGAAAAAACAACAACACTGCATTAGACCCCACTATGAGAAATATCATAAATATCTGCGCTTCTGGAGAGAGGTGGTAGTTAGAATAAATGAATTAATAGAATATGTGTTTTTAATTATTTCATTCATTGGAATGGATTTTTTTTGTTATAATTGTCTAGTGCATCATGGTTAGAGTGTTTTTGTTTATTTGTAGTGAGTTTTTTGTTTCACACACTTTATTAGGTTTTAGACTGGCCACGCCAGAAAACATATTGTTCACTTTTTGCACATACATTTACCCTTAGCGCTTTGTTTTTTTCGATCATCACTATAATGTACTATTGCTGGGATTTGTAGTCCTCTATAGCCCGATTCTGCATTCATTGCTGTATAATTTTACACTTTCCTTTTCACTATATTGCACACCACTATTTTTTTTTTCTTTTCTTTTTTACTTCTACCGCTCCGAGCTTGCTCCTGTGATGGAGTGCAATCTCAATACAAACTAGTAGTCCATCACTGGAGCCATTTAAAATGTTTTATTTTATTGTTTATCCGATTAACCGATTAATCGCACTTAATAATCGGCTAACTAATCGATTTTGAAAATAATCGTTAGCTGCAGCTCTACTGTTCACAGTCTGCAAATTGTATGTTTAAAGTTTCTGGTTGCAGCAGGCTCCTCCATAATCTTCAGGAAGAGCACCCAGATGGACTACAGAAAGGAAAAATTGTATTGTCCAATGTTTCCTATAATGGAGAAAAAAACTAAGGCAATATTCACTCCAGGCAGCTTGCTAAATGCGCTCACATGTATGTGCACAACCGTACAGTGTGTACCTGCTTGCAGAAACTTGTGCTCGGAACAGGAGCGGCAGGCAGTCTGCATCCAAGGGCATGCATCCGTGCTTGTGCATATGTGCAAGTTTGGGTTGGCACATAGCCACGTCCTGCTATTGAGTTGTACAGGCAGCTGGATGCTGCCACACACATTTATCCCTCCTGGGCGCAGGTGTGTGTACGAACGTGCACATCCATGTGACTGAGGCCTTAGCGTATGAAGTAGTGTGCTTTCACAGGTCTGGTGGGTGATCGGTGTAATGTCCTGTCCCAGTGCATCACACTGTTTACTTTTTCCTTTTAACTTTTTTTGGTGTGTACACTCCATTCAGGTCTCCACAAGGCAGTGTGGTGTGCTGCACTTCTGTGCTGCGGTGCCATCTAATGCACTTGGGTAAAATCCATTTTCTGCAGCATGGGGCACATGGAAAAAAATTGTTTTCCACGCGTTCTAGCGGTGACCTGCATTTTTCTGTTTGGGAAAAACTCTGCACATAGTGTGAACGTAGCCTATCACAATTAAGAAAGGTGGGGCTGAGATATGTACTTCAATTTTAACGTCTCACAAACCCTCCGGCTGACTGAAAATTTAGAAAAATCTAATTCTTCCTAAGCCCGCAATAGTAGTTTGACCAGTTCCTTGGATAAAAAAAAATTCTACCTTTTAATCTTTTGTAACTGTGAATGCCATTAGTTGTAAGAAAATCATCCATTCCTTGCTCCTTCTGTTTCTCATAGCTGAGTAGAGTCTAATGATTGATCATATTATTTACCATTAGAGGTGGATGCCAGGCTGACTTCTCAACAGGGTTTAGCGCATTCAAGTCAGCAAAAATCTCTGCCTGCATTCATTCCTTTTTATCTTTAATATCTTCTGTTCTTATGTAAAATAGATCTGAGCAAAACTATGTTGTATATACAAAGCCTATAAGATAGGTTTTATGTCAGGATTGTTGGGTCTTTATACAGAGGATATACGTTTGATGTTGTTCTGCTTTCTCCTTCTCAGGACAAGCAATTAAAGCAACTTCTCAAGAGGCCACTAAAATTAGCCTGGCTTACTCCAAGCCTCCATTGCCATCGGAAGAAGTAAGTTATTCCTTGTGTGTATACTAGAGATTGAGATAGAACTCTGAACATTTCCTATAGATGCTGCTGGATCAGCACTCATTCTAGATAAAGTATACATCACTGATACTCAGCTGGTGCAGCACTTATGCTATAATATGTACCGTATACATTGCTGGGGCTCTGCTGGTGCAGCACTCATGCTATATCAAGTATACAGACATACTATAATATGTATACGTTGCTGGTGCAGTACTCGTATTAGATCAAGTATACTTTGATGAACTTCTGCTGGTGCAGCAATCATACTAGATCCACCATATATTACCCAGTCTTCTGGGTCAGCACTTGCACTAGATCAAGTGCTGGATCAGCACTTAAGAGTAGATCAAGTGTATGTTACTAAGACTGTGCTGGATGAGCATTCATACTAGATCCATACATTTCACAGACATTGCTAGTGCAGCACTTGCACTCTATCTACCTTAAAGGCTGTACTGATGTAGCACTCATACGACATTCAACATACATTACCCAAAATTTATTGGTGCAGCATGTATATTAGATCTGCCTCACAAGACTCAGACTGTGCAGGTATAGCACTTATACTAGATTCACCACACATAACCCAGGCCCTGCTTGTGCAGCACTGATGCCTAATCTGTAATATATTACCTGGACTCTGCTGTTGTGACACTCATACTGGATCCTTTACATGTTACCCAGACTCTTGCTAGTGCATCCACCACACATTACCAACACTCTATTGGAGGAGCAATAATGCTGGCTTCTCTGCATATTACCCAGAATCTTGGCTACCCATACATTTATGTCAAAGCAGCATAAAACCCTCTGAATTCTAATAAAAATGGAAATCTACTTGTTCCAAACTGACCATTTTTAAATACTGCAAGCCATATTAGAACCGTAGTGCAATACTTGTAGTATACAGAACCTTTTACTAAAACGTAATAGTTTCTTTCTTTACTATACTAGTCTTCCTTTTTTTTTACCAGGATTGTCAAAAGTTAAGTGATGGGCTTCTCAATGCTATTTTAGCAGCTTCAACCTTATATTACTCGTTGCCCAAGAATCAAGGTAAGCAGTAGACCATTATGCTCCTTAAACTGATAACAGTGATAACATTGGTGCCCTTTGCACACTTTGTACTGTTGTTGGGTTGTCATAAAATGTGTTCCCAAAGTGTATGCCATTCTTAGAAGACACCACCAAGCAAACAAACAAAGCACTTTATGCAAAACACACCAAAATGGCTGCCTGAAAGAATTTGGGAGTTTTTGTTCTGAACACATTGCACCAGAAGCAGCCCTGTTCCCAAAAAACGTGTATATGTACAGAAATAGGCACCAAACCAAAAGGTGAAAGAGTCCGAGGTACTTAAATTGTTTAAAATTTGGTCACACAAAAAACAAAACACTCCCCCCTTCACTAGAGCAACAAAACAGACCTAAAAACACAAAATGAGATGATAAAATTAATTGTATCCATGAATCGCATAACATTTCATCATAAATAAATGAACACATGGAATGAAATGGTATATGGTAAAAAAAATTAATTGCAAATAAAGATGCATAAAATGTATTTAAAGAATCACAATATATGTGAAAAAGAACACATTGCAGGTAAATGTGTTAAAATGCATTGGGAGAATCATAATAGCACTAATACCTTAGATTTGCTGTAAACAAAACGATTGGCTTTAAAGTGACACTAAACTCGAGTTAAATCTTGAAAATGCATTCATGTCCCCTAACTATTAACAAAAATGTATCTTATTTGTGTATCACTCGGCTGTATGTCCTCAAATCATCTCTGATTCGGCGCTCACACTGTCCTTCTTTCTGGAGGGCGGCTACTTCTGTTTCACATGGTCCCTGTGTGTGTTGTAAGGTAGCCACCGCTCCAAAGCTCACTCCTGTGATGGACTACAATTCTCGCGCGCGCGAGGGGGCGTGTCTGAGCGGACGTCTAGAGACGCCCGCTCAGATCTAGAGAGCTTCGGGCTGGCCGTTTTTCTACGGCCGGCCCGGAGGCAGTTAAGGTAAGCTGAGAGGAGTCTATGATTTTAGCATAGTGCCATTATAGCATTAGTGCTTTTTTAGTTTGTCACTCTTTTTAAATGACATGCATATCTTTACATAACATACAAGTGGAACTTATGGTTTCGATTAAAGTAGTAAAGGGTTGGAGCCCCTATCAAGATTTTGCCATCTCTGTCCTCATAAGGAGATTTCCCCTGATATCCTGTCCCGGTGACTACACAAGAATAAAAACAGAAGATCTAAGCCTTCCCCAACTGCTAAAAATGTTTTTTTTTTATTGCTACCTGTTGTTAGTTTTCCTGTTCTAATATCTACATAGCTATAACAGACAACAATACAAACATGTGAGAGAGAGGTTGTGCAAGTATCCTAGAGTTCCTCTTTAAATTATGTATTTTCCATACTAAATTGCATGTTCTTTGTGTGCAGGTATAACCCTCCGAAAGACAGTTAGAGAAGCAGTAGCAGACGTGATAGAGGGCACCATGCAACTCCTAGAAGTGATCTTAAATTCTCGTATACAAAGGTATAATGTGAGAGCTGCAGATATCATATGCTATGGCTGCTGTGCATGATTTAGTGTTTATACCATGATTCTCATGTTTCTCACTTTGTAGTCTAACACAGGCACAGCTGGTATCCACAGGCAGTGTGTGGGAGGCTTGTGACCAGTTTGAGCAGATTCCTAAAGGTAACTCCCTTTTATCTCATTTCTTCTGTGAATTTTCTAACTCTGTTTAAAGTAACAAATGTCCAAATAATGCCGCTCCGTCCTACCATCCACTTGTCAAGCTCAAAGTAGTCCCTTTTTTTTGTCATATATCCACAGCTAGTAAGCAGTAGATCTATGCCCCAACATAAAAAAAAAAAAAGATGTTGGCAAGTACCAACAAACTTACCTGTGTCGGCGCCGCTCACTCAAGCTGCAGAAGTCCCGGCTCCTGAACACTGTTAAGGAGAAAGTGTGGGCGGGCGCATGCGCAGTCCAAAGCGTCGGAGAGGAGAGCGGCACAGAAGCTGAATGGAAGCACCTGGGAGCGCACACATTGGACAGACACCGTAGGACCTGAGGAGTCTGCGTTGGATCAGAGACCTGCACCAGTGCTGGAAGGACTTTGGAAAACGAGTGGAAGGAAAAGCTGTTCAGATCAAAAGGCATCACATAAGGTAAGTCCTTAAATCAGGGTGGGGAGGAGCTTTAATGTCACTTTTTAAGGGAACATCGGGTGCATGCCAGATTTACAATATAGTCCCACCTTTAGTCTGCCCCGCTTTGATGTTTCACCCACCACGGGCTTAATCTGTATGAATAAGCCCAAGGTATGTAAAACATGTCAGTGAACGGCTAACTGTAGGCGGGACTGTGTGGCAAAAGCTGGCGGGAACTTGATGTTCCCGTTAGATGGACAAGCGGATGCAAGCCAAGGGGAACATCAGGGACCTATCAGCATGTGCAGCACAGTCTGCCCCTCTCTGACCTGTTTTATCCCTACAATTCAGACAATGGTGGGTGATAGGTGGACTCTAGGTGGGGCTGTGCGGCACACGCTGAGCCTACATAAACTTGATTTTATACAACTGACATTTGTGATTTGTGGGCAGCTGACCTTGCCACACACGGATGACCATTTACATGGTGGCAAGCTAACCCAATATAAGTTTTATATATTTTTAAAGCTGTAGTTCTTCTTTAAGGTGTGTGTCTTTCTATGTATCGCCTTCTCCTTCCTCAAAAATATACTTGTACAATTAAACTATATAACTATTTGCCAATTAAATGGCTGATGTTACTTGTGGCATCAGAGAAGTCTTGTTCTATATATTTAAAATCCTCATTGTTTAGACAAACTTTGCAGGAAAGCACTGCACAGATTTGGTTAGGCACGGCATCTTAAACAGTCCGTTTTAGGGTGTCATCATGGAAAACAAGCTGCAAATTAAAGCTTTGGATAGGTTTAAGCTGGCCATACAGCTATAGATTATCTGCAGATTTTGTATGGTCAGATGGAAAAAGTGTAACAGATTCCTCCATGTACACTAAACTGTGTGTATGGAGGAATCTCACGCTGGGCCAAGCTTCAGTATCTTGCAAGTCAGCCCCGCTGGCTCTCAAAATACCTGAACAATGCCTGCATCCAATCAGATTATTCAGGTATTCTGACAGCTAGCAGGGCCGACTAGCAAGATACTGAGGCTTGGCCCAGTGGGAGATTCCTCCATCCACACAGTGTATTGTAGATGGAGGAATCTGTTGCACTTTTTCCATCTGAAAATAGGAAATCTGCAGATAATCTATAGGTGTATGGCCGGCTTTAGACAGAAACCAGACCTAAATCCAGTAGAGATGATGTGGTGATGCAAATTCTCCCACTAGAATACCAGAGATTGATATTGTTTTACAGGAAACATTTGGTGACGGTCAAGGATGTACAACTGGGTTTTAAATGCATGAGGGCAGTTATTTTTCACAGTGTGTTTATTGTTCAATAACTAACAATTTAGTCAATTTTGTTAAGAAAGGGGTCCTTTAACCAGTTGACATCCGGGGTGTTAAATCCCCTTCCCATCCAGGCCATTTTTCAGTAAAAAAAAAAAACAGTTCCCCCTATATTAAATTCTAAAACCTTTTATTATTACCAAATTTTTTGGTAAAATATAAAAGACTTAAAATTGCGCATGCGCGCGAAACCTCAAAAAAAATACATTACCCAAAATTGGCCATAGGCGCCGCATTAAAAGCTTTTACCGCTCATCAGTTTAGTGTTATCAGCGATTGATGGCCCTAAAATGATTGCTCTCACTGCGACGTTCGCGACGATACGTAACGTGTAGCCCAATTGTCATTTTCGCGCGCTGGCGCATGCGACGTTTATATGTGCGTAAACGAAGGGGGGGGAACTTAAACATTGGGGGGG